AACACCATTAATGATCTTAAGGTAGGAGTTTTAGTGTGTCACTACAGGATAAGCACTGGACCACAAGGTCAGTTTGAACCACAAAGTGTGCAATTCAAGCTCACAAGCCACTCCTCAGAAACCCTATAAAGGATCACTGTGAACAGGAGCTGACTCAAAAGCTCTTAACAAAAACAACAACATCTTAAAGGTACAATAGTACAATATAAGTTGGGGTGCTAACCATAAGGTCAGCTGTTCAAATACACCATTGCTTTGTGGAAGAAAGATGAAGCTTTCTGCTCCTGCAAAGATTTACAGCTTCAAAAACAGTACATTGGGTAAGTATGAGTTTGTGCCAACTCTATGGCATGTTGCCACCATCTTCGGATTCCTGGTGTGGCACTATAGAATCAGCACTGGACTTGAAACAAGGCCAGCAGTTCAAACTCAGGAGCTGCTCCTCAGAAATCCTATACGAGGTGGCTATGAGTCAGAATTGACTCAACGGCCCATAACAAAGCAACAACAATCTTAAAGGCTCAAGAATGTAGTGATTCTGTAACATAATCACGGGTACTGCGAACCAAAAGGTCACACCAGCCATTGTTTAGGGGAAAGATAAAGCTCTCTGCTACTGCAAAAATTTAGAGCTTAGAAACTTAAAACATGATCATTTTTGAGTCGGAAACGATTCAATGGCACTTAACAACAACATTTTAAAAGGCTATGATGATAACTAATAAAAATGAACAAATATATATAAATAACATCAAAACGAATACACAAGTTTTGGTTTGTGACTCTTTATAGTAATAAAAATTATCATTATTATCTAATAAAACAATTAACCAAACAGTAGCTAAAATCTGAATCATAATGCTGAACCATTAAAAAATGTTAACTCTTGTCTTAACAAAAAAAAAAAAAAAACTAGGATTAAAAAAAAAAAAAGATTAAGAGGGTAAATCCTCTCAGAAGCTGAAAATATTAGGCCATATTCATTTTATTTACCAATTAAATAAATATATACTTAGAATGTATGCTATATAAAATGTACTATGGCAGGCATTGTACAAGATAAAAAATATGATACAGACCTTATTTCTTTTGTAATTCAGAACATAAGGCAAATTAGAAATTTACCTGACTAACTCGATTTACTTCCTCCTCTTCTTCCTCAGCTTCTTCTCCAAATGACAATAAACTAAAATTTCTAGTCAAAAAAAAAGGAATGAAAGAAATGAATAGGAGTAAAAAGTTAAATTTATCAATGTCTTTTCAAATAAAATGGAGCACAATTTATTAAACTACATATTTTCTATTAAACAAAAGAATAGTATCTCATATTCTGCAGAAAGATACTAAAGATCTGAATTTTCAGTATCATATAAAAGATCAAGGTTTTGACCGTAGGCAAATGACCAATGAATGATCCATCCTGAGCAATAGCATTAAATGTATGGAGTCAAGAATGACAATCGGGCTGCGAACCTTAAGGTCAGCGGTTCGAAACTACCAGCCGCTCTGCGGGAGAAAGATGAGGCTTTCTACTCCCGTAAGGATTTACACCCTCGG